ATATATGGTAACGTTTTCGGGTCCCAGGTTCATTCCTATAATGAATGGATGGAAGAGAAGGGAGGTTATGAAAATATCAATTGAATCATTTCATTAATTGGGCAAAAGTTAATTTATTCTTGACATTAGCTTAGCTGCTTCTTGACATTAGGGAGTTACACGTTGCAAGAGAACGACAAAGACTGCCTACCAACTTTACGCAATGAGCTCATGGTTCTAATAGCTAAGAAGAAACATCTTAATACTAACATTGTGGTTTTGTCTACAATTATTCATGCATTATTAAGTAATAAAAACCTGCCTGAACGAGGCAACGCTGAAACTCGCCAGAGTACCCAGCGAGAGAACCCCATGACGTAATCAGGGGAGAGAGTTCATCTCCGGTTAAATACCGGATTATCACCGCTAGTTGTCGGCGCCTCCACAGACCGGCTGGATGGCTGTCCTCGTGTAGTGATTCACCCTCGCTCTGGTGAGGGCTGATGGCGTGGTGCGGTGACAGACTCCCCATTCAGCTCTTCTTCTCAGCTGGCGGCGTGGTGCGTCTCGGAGTCGTCAAAGACGGGCGGGCGGTCTCAGAGTCAGCTCGAAGACACACTGGCGCCGGGCGGGCGTAATGAGGGCTTGAATGGGCCCGAGACGGCCCTATACGGCGAACGCTGATTGACGCGTAGTCTTAGGTTCGGTGAAAAATCGCTCTGGGTGGCAAAATTCAGCCCTACGAGCCGAAATTAACAATGTTCCTCACTCCACCTAGTCTTAGCTAAGGGCTACGTCATTTCTCCTACAAGTCCCGATCAGTAATGTAATATTTTTCTCAGTCGCGATCGATGGCAAAGTTCTGTAATGCAATGTTTCTTTAAGTCGCGATCGATAAAAAGACTTATAAAGCAATCTCTAGTGTAATCTGTCGGGTAATGTTTCTCTCTACCCAGCTCCCGGCCGAGCTCGCCTCCGTTTCCCCCTCCCGAAAACGTGTCCGGACCCGTAGCTTTGCCCTTTCCCTCACGGGAAGATGTCTCATAGGTCGAAACTATATGCGTCGCAATTTTATGTCACCCAATCGGGACGCACTGTTCCTGGAATTTTCCAGGGCGATCACTCTCTCTAATTCTGGAAGCATCTCTTGCAGCTGCCCGAACACGTGTTAAGGCGGCTTTGTTTTCGGAAACATAATCCTTCGGCGCCGTGATCGGCAGCCGGCGACGGGCGACGGACAATACCTCTGGGATTTCCGGAAGTGTTGTAGGGAGATTCCTTGCGCGGGTGCGTGGCGGATGGCCGGCGGGCGGTATCTGTCTCCGGGCCAAGACGCGGGCGGCCATTGTTTTACTAAGTGCGCGGGGGCTCCCCGAAGGGGGAGAAAGGTCTTCTCTGCGGATCGGCAGCCCACGAGGGGCGTGCAACGGGCGAGCGCCGAGCGGGCGGCTTGTCGTAAATAAGTCTGCTGCGAACGGCAGCCTATTTGGCGGGCGGGGCAGCTGGCGACGGGCGAGCGGCTGGCCCGTTGAAAAGGATCCTTTGTGACAAGAGCCCAGACTGGCGACCTACTTCTTTCCGTGGAGAAAATATCTTAATATTAAATTAATATAATGAAATTTGGTGGCGCCACAATACATTTGTAATAACACATTAACAAATACTATTTACATTGTAAACAATTAAACTAGTCTACTATTAAAAGTATGAAATTGTAGTATTCCTTTTAAAAGCGGCAAAATGTACTTGCACCAGGATGGCAAACCAGTGCGCGACGGCCCTGCCCTTTAGTACATCCTTGTTGGAAACGTAATAAGAGTGCGCTTTCAAAAAACCGCATACACTCCACGAATACTATAGGTATTGTATCTTTGATAACATAAATTTCATAATGCCATACGTCTCTTTCATACGGGCTGCATAGTCTGGTTTCTCATTTCCAATTAGAATATGCACAGTTTTTAAACTGAGTTTAGAAGAATTTATAAACAGCCTCCATTCCTCAGGATCTTGATGGTCTCCCAACTAAGTAATGAATCAACATCAGTACAATAAAGTAGATTGCCTTCTTCGGAGAATAGACATAGGAGGTCTTGTTCCTGTCGGCGGCACACTAATTGTAATTCACCTCTGAAGGAGGTTCCAACCGTTTAATCAGGAAGCCAATGCCTGATTCTTTAACCAGTTTAGATCACAAATTAGACCATTGGGTTCCGATTGGGGACTGATTGATTCTATGAGGTTCTGAAGACTTCCCACCCAAATCTGGAACTTCAAGGTCCTCTTCGGTACTTACATGTAAATCTTCATCACCAGAGTTTTCGGAATGTAAACTCCAATTGTCCGGTGGCGCTGGAATTGGAAGGCCGTCGCTATGAGGAACAGGCCTGATAGCTAGTGAAGGTCGCGGTCTTTTTGATGTTGCATGTGACACCAGCCACTTTGGTAATACATAAATAACAGTTCGTGGACAATGTATGGCAGTGGCGGCTAGTGACCCTAGAAACTTGGGATTGCAGCTGCATCCAATGACGTGAATGTAATTTCCAAAACACTAATCAAATAAAATGTAATTCATGTAAATTAATTAAAACTAAGTTAAATAAGTCTGTATTAAAACATTACTTATATCATTTTATGTGTAATGTCCATGTCAGGTATGTTCTCCCACGCACATGGCTTTTTGCATTTCCAATTAACACACGAGTGTTTGTGTTAGTAGTTCTGCATTGAGTCAGTTGCTCTGAGAAGAATTCATACAATACAAAAACGAAACTGTTTTGTACGTGAGTTCCAAAAGCTTCATGTTTTTTCAATCGATCAATTAAGTGGTAAACCCGGTCTTCATCCAGCTGTATTCGAATCAAACCCACGTATTTATTGAAAAAAACATTTTTGAATTTTGGGTTGAATTCTATTTTTGCTGATTTTAACGTTTTAATAAAAAATTTAATACTAGAAGTAGGTCTGAGTCTCTTAATTTCTAGTTTTTCTTCAATAAGGCGTAAACCGAAAGGAGATTTCATTAAATTTTGCACTGTATTCATTGGCTGTTGTCAGAAACATAGATATAGGACACTCGTGCAGAAAACTGTTAGAGATTCTTACTTCCATTACCGGCAGCAACAGCAATAACGCACACTTAAACAATGTATCATACACTTGTCATATTCACAACTCACAATGAATCTTCCGAAATAACTGTCGGCGGGAAGAAAATGACGCACACGGTACATGAGTGGGAGAGAAAGGGATTTTACACAAAACAAACTGCACTGTTCAATCATCTCATCTTCAAGTAGCGTGTAAAATATAGGAAAAGTTATTAAAGTAGTGTAAATGTAATGTAGCTTGAGAGTCTGGCTAAGGGGCCACTACCCGGGTGCTGGCCTCTCTCACCTGCAGCAAAGGCCGTCGCAATCTGTCTGCTTCGTAAGTTAGAGAACAAATAAACACATACTGCACTCTTCAATTGCATATTTCCATCAACAAACCTAACATTGAGTAAAAATAATGTCCCCAAACAAATAATACTTCCAACGCCGTCAAGAATTGACTCAACTTCTGTACTTCCAGTAACATGTAAAATTCATAAAACTAAGTTGCAGCTAGTGTCAGACGACGACAGAAAATTGGTATTCCCCTCGGACGCCGCACAGCGCTCGGAGACAAGACCCCTTCCCTACTGGTTGCGCAACCGACGGTCTTTTCGTTCTCCGCTATCTGTTCAAAAACAAAGTGGAGGAGTTAGAAAATCCTACATTAAGACGTTATTTTTTGGGGAAATACATCAAAGAATCCGTGCAAGGTAAATCAACATCGCGCAATGTTGGCGTTACGACGCAGTGATAAGAAAAAATATTATTAGAAACTAAAATATGTAATGATATGGATTTCTATTGACAAGAAAACGGATACCACAAGTCGTTTTGTAGGTAATGTTATCGATGGGCTTTCGATTCCGTCGATCATCTTTTGGCTCTTCTGTAGCAAACTATTCAATGAAGTATTTTTGCTCATCACCGAATGTTTAGAATAGTCATTAGGTCAACTATTGCATAGGTAATCAAAAATTATTCGAAGTTAATATGAGCCTAGG